ACTGTCTTCCTTCCAACCACTCAAGACCGGGGTTTAAAGCTGGAACCAAAACATTCTGAGACCTGACACGTGCCCACTCACACAACTGACGACCCTGGACAAAGCAGAGTAGCTGACACACAGCACCACAGGTGTTCCACGACAAAGTCAGGAGTTCAGTCTCAGGGAAGCTGATTAGATACAGGGATTCACAGCTGAGTGCAGAACAATTTGAGTGTCTGGTCCCAAATGAGACGCTTAAACTGTCCCTTTAGTTTTCTAATTTTCTAATGGCAGGACTACATGACGGACCCTGTGACAGCTCTCTTGGTTTCCTGACTGACAAAACGTGGGCATCACAACATACTCACTTTATTCATAATGTCGAGTTCACAGCGCAGCCGTTGGATGGCGCTACCGATTTTTAAGAGCTGAATTCTTAATGCATCGTCAATGGGAAGACAAGCGGCTACTCTGTAAGAAAAATCTTAAAAGACATGGGGGTTTTTTCAAGTTTTAAACTTGAGGCAGGTAACTACCAGCTAATGCATGATCAGATAATGTTCTTTAAAATCTTTCTCTACAGGATTCCCAAAGAACCCATTTCACACAATTATAAACACTATTACGACATACCAGCTATCAAGTACATACTCTTAGAGGTTCTAAAATCAACTTCTTACCCTGTACTTGGTTTTTGAACATACCGCCTTTTACATTAAACATAAAATCTAACACATCACAGACTAGAAAACGAGTCAGTGGTACCTAATACACAGAGTCGTCATGGGGAGTCTGTCCTGAGACAGGGTCTCCTTTAACAGCACCTTACAAAACCAGGGAGGGAAGGGTCTTCACACTCAGAAGGTGTTTGGATGCGACTAATTTGAACCTGTTTGGAAAACCTTGCCTAAAATTGGAGTGTTCACAGAATTTAAGAACTTGCTTACAATTAAGTAAAAAATACTCCTTTTTTAAAATTGCTCATAGCCAAAGAAACGTGTGTGCTTTCCAGAACTAATAAAGATACTAGTTAAAACACTAACATTTTTGGTTTCGTGAAACAGAAAACATGAAATACTTTCTTTCAGTGAGACAGCACGGCCAGGGAAGGAGCCGGCTCCGTACCTATCGGACTGGAAGGGAGCGAGGCGTCCCGCAGGTTTCCGTCCCACTCGCGCAGCTGCTTCTTGATTCTGTCCATTAGGGTCTCCTTGTTTAAAATAAAAGTTCCCACAAGGTCAGACTTCTTACAATTCACTGTCAGCTTTTCAACTCTTTTTAATAAAACGAATACATTGGCAGCTGTTTTAAGTCATGACTATGCAGTAAAGTCTGTTTTCTCATGCAGAAGTGACCAGAGCCCCAGCTGGTGCCCTGTAGGTGCCCTGAACTCGGTGGCTTGGAGCTGGGCTCCCCTCGCCTTTTCTGGCTGCTTCCATGGGGTTGTGGCCTATCAATTACACAAGCTTTTACTATCTACACACACACTTGGCACCTGTTGACTACATAAGAGTGCTTTTCTCAAGTGCACGCAAAAACGACTCGTGTGCTGTGCATCTGCAACGGCTCAGCAGCTGCTGGGCCAGAGGGACTCGTCTCCTCAGACGCCGTGCGCGGCCCTACGTGCCTCGTTTCCCCGGACTCCACATCTGTGTGTGAGGCGAGTCACGGAGGGAAATGAGTCCCAACTGCTGAAAGTGTACTAGGTGCCAAGTGCAACAGCTGCTATTACCCCCATTTTATAGAGACTCAAGTAACTTCCCCAAACCAGAGAAAGTGATAGAAATCAGGCTTTGCGCACAGTCTCTGTGTCTCAAAACCCAGACTGTGGCCTATCTCACCAGTCTGTCTCTTAGTGAATTCTGCACCACGATGCAACGCCTGGTATTAAAGTTTGGGGCGCAAAACCCCCTGTGGATGCATCAATGCAGTTCACTCACTAGGGGTCAGGAAGCCAAGTTCATACACTTGTTCAGAAAAAAACCAAAATCCTGTTAAGGATTCTTTAATTTCTAAGTG